AGGAATGCATTTCACAACCTGCGAGCACCCATTGAAGACCTTCTCTCATGTCCCCCACCCGTGAGGCCACTGGGACCAAGAGAAGGTCTTCCCCAAAAGATTTTAAAGCTAGGGAGGCTCATTTGGAGTTAAATGATACTTCAGATAGCCTGGATGAGAAATGGGGGCTTTATATTCATATACAAATACAAAGCCCCCACGGCACAGGCGGCTGGCCTGATTACCTCCCAAACCTGACTCTGCTGGACCACTTTACACATGGTGGGTGTCATCATTAGTGTGCCAATCATGGCAGTAAAGTGGGGTCTCGATTTAAGTAATTAATCCGTATTTGAAGGCAGTCCGCAGGTCGAAAAGTTCGCAGGTCGAATATGCATTCCCCATAGGAATGCATTGAAAACCATTTAATCCGTATCTGCTTTTTTCTGTCCATAGAAACTAATAGGAAGCTGCTATTCTGCATTCTACCACTAGAGGGGGATATTTTTTAACAAATTTTCTTAGGTCATGAAAAGTTCAGGAAAGGAGGGGGGGAGTCAGGGAACACTTTGCAAAGCACGTTTGAAATCGTTTTTTCACCTTGAAGCACCTTTTCAGCCAAGACAAGCCAAGACAAGGGGGAAAAGGGGGAGCAAAGGAGGGAGGGAACACATTTTAAGCCAAGAACCTTTCAATAACAGAACACCTCGAAAAGCACTATTCAAACAAGCCAAGCCAAGCACCTTTTGGGGGAAAAGGGGGGCAGCAAAGGAGGGAGGGAACTTAATCCCCCCCTACACACAGCAAGGCACAGAATCCAGCAACCATTCTTCCAGCACAAAAATGCCTGCCTTCCAGGACAAACACCACATCTCTCTCTGCCTAGAAAAGTTCTCCCAGTCTCGGTCCTTCCTCCCCACTCCCCCATCCCGGTCTCTCATACCTTTGAGCTGGTCTATTGCCTCAGTTTGGACCTGGCTTGCTGGGGAACTTTGCTCCAGCACTCAGTGGCGGTGGCGGCTAGATTCCTTGCCCGGGTGCAGGTGAGGGGGAGAGAGGAGAGGGCAAGGGAGGGGAGGAAAGTCAGGAAAGGCATGGGTGGGCATGGAGGGAAAGGGGCTCCCTGATGCAGCGATAGAGGGAGGGGAAGCAGCCATGAGGGACCTGCCCTGCCCCCCCTCCTCCTCCCCCCCTCCCAGGGGACTCCCGGGAGGAGGGAGTCCGAGCATGGCTGCGATCGTGCGGCTTGGCTCCCTGTAGTGGCGGCGGCCAGATTCCTTGCCAGGGTGCATGTGAGGGGGAGAGAGGAGACGGCAGGGGAGGCATGGGTTGGCATGGAGGGAAAGGGGCTCCCTGTAAAGAGGCAACAATGAAGGGAGGGGAAACAGCCATGAGGGACCTGACCTACCCTTCTCCTCCCAGGGGACTTTGCTTCTCCTCCCGGGAGTCCGAGCATGGCTGGGATCGCGCGGCTCTGCTCCCTGCAGGTGGTGGCGACGGTGGGGAGGGGGAGACCTCCAAGATGCCTTCCAAGGCTTCTCCACCACCATGCGAGGCATCTTGGAGGTCCCCCTCCACCGTTGATAGTGGCTCCAAAGCACTATCGGCGGCGGGGGGGACCTCCAAGATGCCTCCCATGGCGGCGGATAAGCCCTGGAAGGCATCCAGAGGCATGGCCTACGGACTGGAAGGGGGAGGCGGGGAAAGCGCCGAATTTGAATTGGGTGCTTTTCCCACTTCCCTCTTCTGGTCCGTAGGTCGATTCTCCGGCCGCAAGTCAAAGTGGAATTTTGCGGCCAGAGAATTCCATAAGTTGAAAAGTTCGTAAGTGGAGCCAGACGTAAGTTGAGACTCCACTGTAGTTTGACTGCCGCAGCTTCTCCTCCCTGTTTGCTTAGCCGCTCCAGCAAGGCAGCAGGAGGACAAGTCTCTCTGCTCTGCTGCAGAGTGGCTAGACAAGCAGGGAGGCGGGGCTGTGGCAGCCGAGCTACTGCCTCAGTTGGCATGCTGACAATGATGCTGGCCACACACACCATCCAATAAGTCTGTTGGGGTCTGGGGGGGTATGTACAATCACCTGTACTGAGGGGTGGCTTTGTATTCATACACCTATACAAAGCCACCATCTCTATCCTGGGTCTAAGTCAAAGGGATTTAGAGCTGAGGGCTGTTGTGGGTTTTTAGGGCTCTTCGGCTGTGTTCTGAAGTTTGTTCTTCCTAACGTTTCATCAGTCTCTGTGTTCGGCATCTTCAGAGGACAGGAGTAGCACTCTGTGCTCTGGTACAGTTTGTTTGGGAGTTGAGTATAGCTGTGGGAGCAGCTTTTGTCCTTTTCAGGAGATGGGTGATTATGGTGATCAGTGTGTTTTTGTTGTGGGTGTATTGTTGTGATAAGGAGGAGAGGTTATCTGCCACTGTGATTGATGGGTGTCATTAGCTGGGCTTTTGTGTGTAGTAATCACCGTCCTTGTGGCTGGGTAGAGTTCGTTGACCTTTTGCATGCTGTATTTTTTAGTGCTGGGAGCCACGCTTTGTTGAGTTTTAAACTTTCTTCTTTTTTGTTGAAGTTCTGCTGGTGTTTGTGGATTTCCATGGCTTCCCTGTGCAGTCTAACTCTGAACAAGCTGACTTCTCTCTCTCTCTTTTTCTTTGTCAAATCTAGACATAAATAGCTTCACTGAAGCGGAGTAATATTTACTGTACATTATTCAGGAAATATTCTCCCTGTTTGGAAGTGGTCAAGGAAAGTTGCCCCTCTTCATTAATAACATTGACTCTTTTTTAAAATTCCATGTATATTGGGCGATCCCCATTTATTAGTTGCTTAATCTCTGTTTGTTGGTTGCTGTCATATCCTTCCATATTTCCATATCCCTAACGTACTGGATTATTATAAGAAGGTAGAGGGGGGAAAGCAGATACCAGTGAGAATACTGTAGAACTGTTATATAAAGGGTTTTTCTTTTCTTTTTGAAAATACAAACATGGATGCAAAACCTAAGGTGGGGAAAGGAGGTTTGGCACCAGAAAGTACACCATTGAGATTGATGCAAGAAACTCAGTCTTCTTTATTAACGAAATAATATTTTGAGAAGCTCATGAGCACCATGCTCAGCCAATAGACAGCTCATTTTGATAGAAAGTTTGATGAAATTAAGTCTGATACTTCAGCCCTGAAAACTAAAGTGTCTGGCCTTTCCAAACAACAGGACGATATAAATGTACAAATGGAGCAAATGAAAGAGGATGTGCCACACCAGAATCAAGAAATACAGAAGACAGTGAGATTAGCAAAGAAAATGGAGAAGACAGTAATAGAACTTCAGAAGGACTTAGGAAAAGTTGAAACCAGACAAAACCAACATGAGCCATCAAGAACTCAAACCCATATGAAGAATGCATTACATAATCTGAGAATTTGGAATGTACCAGAAACTCAAAATGAAGACCTCCTAGAAGTTACAACTGATTTATTATCAGACTGGGCGGACTGTGAGAAGGATGAAATTAAGTGGAATATAGATGTGGCCAGAAGAACTTTCTCAGTATGTATTGAAAAAAATTAGATTCATTAAAATCACATATAGAGGCAAAATTCTGAAAGCAACGCAAGACAAGCAAAAAGAAGGAAGGAATCTGAAGACACTGAAACATATACCTTGGGAAATGAGAAATAAAAGGAAAATGTATGAGAATGAATAAAGATTATCAGCTACATAATCAATAATCAGAATAATAATATATCTGTCTGAATTTGATTTTTCCCTCTCGCTCCCTGTTGATATTTCTTTCTGACATGTGGAACTATTACTAGAAGAGAATGTATAGAATTACTATGAAAAATATTGATCTGTAATGTATCTGTTCAAATCCACCCCCTCCAAGAGTACCCCATCCCAGCTGTCCCTTACCTTACCCTACCTTTATAAAGAAAAAAATGTTTTTTTTAAAAAAAAGTTAAGAGAAGAGATCATTGCCCTTCACAAGCACAGAACAGGAGATAAAAAGATAGCAAAGGCACTGAATGTTCCTAGAGACACCTTTAGAAGCATAGTTCACAAGTTTAAAGTTATAAGGAAAGTGGTTACATTACCTGGACCGGGCAATAAAAGGAATCTCTGTTAGTGGCTGTGAAGTTTTGGAATTCTGTTCTGTGGAGTAGTGAGACGAAACTGGAACTTTTCGGCCCAGTGAATCAATGATATGTCTGGAGGAAGAAGAATGAAGCATACGCTGAAAAGAACACTCTGCCGACAGTTAAGCATAGTGATGTTCTGGGGCTGTTTTGCATCATCCGGCACTGGAAACCGGCAGCGTGTGTAAGGCAAGATGGATTCACTAAAGTATCAGGAAATCCTAGGATAAAACATCATGCCATCTATGGGGAAGCTGAAGCTTGGGCATCATTGGACTTTCCAACCGGACAATGATCCCAAGCGTTCCTCAAATTCCACCAAAACTTGGTTGCAGAAGACGTCCGGGTAGATTCTACAGTGGTCATCACAGTCACCTGAGTTGAATCCCATAGAAAATCTCTAGTGAGATTTGAAGAAGTCTGTCACAACATGCAGACCCAAGATTATTACTAAAATGGAGGCCATTGGTCATGAGAATTGGGCTAAGATTCCCCAGGAACGCTGCCAGAAGCTGTGTCAGGCAGTGCATCTCGTTTGCAGCAGGTTGTAACAGCAAAAGAGTGCTCTACTAAGTACTACAGATGCTTGCCATGAAGGGGTTTAATTATTTTGAGACTGCAGAATTCATTAAAAGTTTCATTTTCAGTTAAATTCCCTAAGAAACCACTTGAAGCATTTGTTGTGTTGAGCTATTTCAGTTGCTTTTGTTTGATTTGTTTATTGCAAACAGCTGAAAGTCTATGAATTTTGACATCAAATCTGATTTGCAACGGGGTTTGAATAATTTTGATTACAACTACTATTTCAGATGGACAGGATTAAAAATGACATGCGTTTCTCTTGTCTTTATTTTTTTACATTTTTCTTCTCTCTTTCTTTTTCTAGTCACAGATGAAGACACTGTGAAACGATACTTTGCGAAGTTTGAAGAAAAATTCTTTCAGACTTGTGAGAAGGAACTTGCCAAAATCAACACATTTTATTCAGGTGAGGTATTTATCTGTAGCTTTCAGGATATATAGAACATAATCTGGCTTTATTGTGACACCAGTTAAGACCTTACATTGTTAAGAGTGGCTTGACAACATACAGGAAGTGCATATTTTATAGAATTCGCCGTATGCCTACTTAACCATGATTATTAGCATTTTTATCAGAATCTGCCACATGAAACTCCTCATACTACATGCTGACCTCTGGGATTATTCCCCCTACCCCTGGCCTGGGGTGTTCAGGAAGTGGCTGTTTGAAGGATTTGGAGAGTGACAGTTGACAAAGTTGGTAGCATGCTAGGGGTGCCAACTAGTAGTTTTCCCAGAGAACGAAGTTGCTCAGTGGGTAATCAAGCAAAGAGACAATACTGATTGTAGAAAGATTATATTGAATCAAGTTTGCAGCAAGGTTCATACATACAACATAGTCTTTATTCAGTCCTTTGGTCATACACGGCAATATCAACAGGTTCAGTCCATAAATCAGTCCAATAAATCTTTGTCCTTGTTAAATCTATTTCTCAGTATTCCTCCTTACTCCTCCAATCCATGCCACAAGGTTGAATGCTGGAACTGCTGGCTTTATTCCACCTTCAGCCAATATTGGTTTCCTTACACAGCTGTTACAAGTTTTACTACATATCTAGTCCCTTCACAGCTGTCTAAATCAGTATTTTACAGTATTTATTTACAGTGATTCTTACAAATACTTACAGTATTTATAAGTTCTTACATATGGTTTTACAACAATGTATTAACATTCTACTCAGGTTCTTGTCAGACCTGTCAACAGTGTACAGTGGTGCCCCGCATAGTGACATTAATCCGTTCCGTTCCGGATTAATCGTCGCTATACGGAAACATCGCAATGCGGGAGGGAAAACCCCATAGAAACGCGTTAAACTTCGTTTAATGCGTTTCTATGGGGTGAAAACTCACTGCTATGTAAGGTTTCCTCCATAGGGCCACCATTTTCGCAGCCTCGGTAAGCGAGGGCAGTGCGGGTGGCCATTTTGGAACCGCCGATCAGCTGTGTGAAATGGGGCCTTTGGGAGGAAAAGCCCCCATTTTCACACAGCTGGC